CTATACTACTACTAAAAATTCCCCTACCCATACCCATTATTACTACTACTACTACTACTAATACTACTACTACTACTACTACTACTACTGCTACTACTCCATTACTACTACTACAGTACTACTACTACTACTACTACTACTACTACTACTCAATCAATCAATTTTATTTTATATAGCCCTTCTTACATCAGCTAATATCTCGAAGTGCTGTACAGAAACCCAGCCTAAAACCCCAAACAGCTAGTAATGCAGGTGTAGAAGCACGGTGGCTAGGAAAAACTCCCTAGAAAGGCGAAAACCTAGGAAGAAACCTAGAGAGGAACCAGGCTATGAGGGGTGGCCAGTCCTCTTCTGGCTGTGCCGGGTGGAGATTATAACAGAACCATGCCAAGATGTTCAAAAATGTTCATAAGTGACAAGCATGGTCAAATAATAATCAGGAATAAATCTCAGTTGGCTTTTCATAGCCGATCATTAAGAGTTGAAAACAGCAGGTCTGGGACAGGTAGGGGTTCCATAACCGCAGGCAGAACAGTTGAAACTGGAATAGCAGCAAGGCCAGGCGGACTGGGGACAGCAAGGAGTCACCACGGCCGGTAGTCCCGACGTATGGTTCCTAGGGCTCAGGTCTCTCAGTTGGCTTTTCATAGCCGATCATTAAAGAGTTGAAAACAGCAGGTCTGGGACAGGTAGGGGTTTCGTAGCCGCAGGCAGAACAGTTGAAACTGGAATAGCAGCAAGGCCAGGCGGACTGGGGACAGCAAGGTGTCATCATGCCCGGTTAGTCCTGACGTATGGTCCTAGGGCTCAGGTTCTCAGAGAGAAAGAGAGAACGAGAGAATTAGAGAGAGCATACTTAAATTCACACAGGACACTGGATAAGACAGGAGAAGTACTCCAGGTATAACCAACTAACCCCAGCCCCCCGACACATAAACTACTGCAGCATAAATACTGGAGGCTGAGACAGGAGCGGTCCGGAGACACTGTGGCCCCATCCGAAGAAACCCCCGGACAGGGCCAAACAGGAAGGATATAACCCCACCCACTCCGCCAAGGCACAGCCCCCGCACCACTAGAGGGATATCCCCAACCACCAACTTACAATCCTGAGACAAGGCCGAGTATAGCCCACAGAGTCTCCACCACAGCACAAACCAAGGGGGGGGCGCCAACCCAGACAGGAAGATCACGTCAGTAACTCAACCCACTCAAGTGACGCACCCCTCCCAGGGACGGCATGAAAGAGCACCAGCAAGCCAGTGACTCAGCCCCTGCAACAGGGTTAGAGGCAGAGAACCCCAGTGGAGAGGGGAACCGGCCCGGCAGAGACAGCAAGGGCTGTTCGTTGCTCCAGCCTTTCCGTTCACCTTCACACTCCTGGGCCAGACTACACTCAATCATATGACCTACTGAAGAGATAAGTCTTCAGTAAAGACTTAAAGGTTGAGACCGAGTCTGCGTCTCTCACATGGGTAGGCAGACTGTTCCATAAAAATGGAGATCTATAGGAGAAAGCCCTGCCTCCCGCTGTTTGCTTAGAAATTCTAGGGACAATTAGGAGGCCTGCGTCTTGTGACCGTAGCGTACGTATTGGTATGTACGGCAGGACCAACTCGGAAAGATAGGTAGGAGCAAGCCCAGAACCAGGAACAGAAACCGAATCAGCCCGGGCCAACGGGAAGACAGGAGGGAAGCCACGGAGAAAGACAAAACACACAAAAAAAAAAAAAACCACCCCAAACACACCCCAACACACACAGACACACACACACACACACACAACCCAACACACCACCACACACAAACGACACACACAAACCCAAACCACTACACACCCAATACACACACACACACAAACAACAACACTCCTTATACTACAACTATCCTTAAAACACACCTACACCCCCAACCCCAACACCCCAACACACTCAACACACCCGCACAACTACTACCCAACACACTACTCACCAACCCACTAACCACTACTACCCCGTACTACTAACACTCCCAACCAACTACACACTACAACTTTTACTACTACTACTCTACTATATACTACTACTCCTTACTACAACTACAGACTACATACACACCCCTTTATACTACTATTACTACTACTACTCCAGTAAACTACTACACTACTACTATACAATACTACTATACTACTAATACTCCTTTACTACTACACTAACTACTACTACTACACTCCATACTACAACTACTACTCTATACAGTACTCCTCCTTCCCCTTCTCCGCGGCGTTCCACAGGCTGCCAGGCGCCTGGGGGGTTTCTCCTTGATATATCCATCTTACTTATACCCAGTTTTCTTTTACTACCCAGTACTCTACTCTATACTACTACAGTACCACAAAAGTACTACTGGTCAGTCTTCTTCCCCTTCTCCTGAGGTGTTTCCATTGGCTCCCGGGTGGGCCTCCCGGGTTCCCTTTGATCTGCTCCATTTCAGGGTGAGTTTCTTCTCCATCTTGCTAAAATTGCTTTCTTTTCCCATGGCCTTGAGCACAGTCCCTCCGTGCTCCCTTTCTCCCCAGGGCCCTCGCCCGGGGGCCTCCGGGGACGGACCACAGAGAGCCAGGGATTCCCATAGATTTAGAAAAATAGGACTGGGACGGACCACAGAGAGACCAGGGATGTCACCACAGAGTTAGAATCACTAGGACTGGGACTGCGACCACAGAGAGACCAGGGATGTCACCATAGAGTTAGAATCAATAGGACTGGGACTGGACCACAGAGAGACCAGGGATGTCACCACAGAGTTAGAATCACTAGGACTGGGACTGGACCACAGAGAGACCAGGGATGTCACCATAGAGTTAGAATCACTAGGACTGGGACTGGACCACAGAGAGAGCAGGGATGTCACCATAGAGTTAGAATCATTATGACTGGGACTGGACCAAAGAGAGAGCAGGGATGTCACCATAGAGTTAGAATCACTAGGACTGGGACTGGACCACAGAGAGAGCAGGGATGTCACCATAGAGTTAGAATCACTAGGACTGGGACTGGACCCAGAGAGAGCAGGATGTCACCATAGAGTTAGAATCATTAGGAGTGGGACTGGACCACAGAGAGAGCAGGGATGTCACCAATGAGTTAGAATCACTAGGACTGGGACTGGACCACAGAGAGAGCAGGGATGTCACCATAAAGTTAGAATCACTAGGACTGGGACTGGACCACAGAGAGAGCAGGGATGTCACCATAGAGTTAGAATCACTAGGACTGGGACTGGACCACAGAGAGAGCAGGGATGTCACCATAGAGTTAGAATCACTAGGACTGGACCACAGAGAGAGTAGGGATGTCACCATAGAGTTAGAATCACTAGGACTGGGACTGGACCACAGAGAGAGTAGGGATGTCACCATAGAGTTAGAATCACTAGGACTGGACCACAGAGAGAGCAGGGATGTCACCATAGAGTTAGAATCACTAGGACTGGACCACAGAGAGAGCAGGGATGTCACCATAGAGTTAGAATCACTAGGACTGGGACTGGACCACAGAGAGAGCAGGGATGTCACCACAGAGTTAGAATCACTAGGACTGGACCACAGAGAGAGCAGGGATGTCACCATAGAGTTAGAATCACTAGGACTGGACCACAGAGAGAGCAGGGATGTCACCATAGAGTTAGAATCACTAGGATGGACCACAGAGAGAGAGGGATGTCACCATAGAGTTAGAATCACTAGGACTGGACCACAGAGAGAGTAGGGATGTCACCATAGAGTTAGAATCACTAGGACTGGACCACAGAGAGAGCAGGGATGTCACCATAGAGTTAGAATCACTAGGACTGGACCACAGAGAGAGCAGGGATGTCACCATAGAGTTAGAATCACTAGGACTGGGACTGGACCACAGAGAGAGCAGGGATGTCACCATAGAGTTAGAATCACTAGGACTGGGACTGGACCACAGAGAGAGCAGTGGAATTGTAATCGATGCCCTGGGAATGAAAGGTAATATAAAGGAATAGAATATTGTAAAATATTGTATAATTGTAAAATAAATGGACACGTTGGTGTGGCAGCTTGTTCTGCCAGACAGACTGAGTTGAGTGGCCTAATCATTGTCTTCCTTCAGATGGCGTCATTCTAACGCAACCGCGTTGCCATGCAGACAAGGCGGTCACGCTATCTGACGTAAGACAGTGGTTGTGTAATGTGATACATCTATGACATCACGTGTCTCTGTCTCTCTCTCTCTTTTACAGCATGGCATGGGTATCCCCTCCATCGCCATCATGTTACACGAGCTCATCAAGCTCCTCTACCATGCTCGCTGCACTGATGTTACCGTCGTACGCATTGGGACCTCCGGTGGATTAGGTAGGCCTATATAGAGTTTATTTAGACGTTTTCTGTCAGGTTGTACTTCTCAAGTGCTTTGGATATGATTTAATTCCTTTATGATTAAACACAGCACACCTGAATCCCACTGTAGTCAAACGAGTAATAACACTAATATGTGGTGTTTAAATCAATCAATCAATTAATGTCCTTTAATTAAGCTAAACTTGCATCCCAAATGGCACCCTATTCCCTATATAGTGTACTACTTTTGACCAGGGCCCAAAGTAGTGCACTTTATATGGAATAGGGTGTCATTTGGGACACAGGCCTAAAACAAGCCATATTTGCTACACATTGTACATCCACTGATCCACTTTCTCTCTCCAGGCCTTGAGCCTGGCACGGTTGTTGTCACCAAGCAGTCAGTAGACGCCACCTTCCTGCCCAGGTTGGAGCAGGTCATCCTGGGGAATACTGTGGTGCGCAGCACGGACCTGGACCAAGGGCTGGCTGAAGAGCTGCTGCAGTGCAGCAAGGACCTGGGTCAATTTGAGACGGTGGTAGGAAACACCATGTGCACCATCGATTTCTATGAAGGTGTCGGTTGTTATACGCTACTTCAGTATTTTGCTTGTTGTCTGCGATTCTGTCTTTTTCAAATGTGTTGCTGTGTTAGCATGGTACCTGACCTGTTTTTGCTCCTGTCAACTCCATTGCTGTCATTGTAAAGCCAAACATGTTAGGCATGACAATGAGTGAGTTGGCATGACAATGAGTGAGTTGGCATGACAATGAGTGAGTTGGCATGACAATGAGTGAGTTGGCATGATGGCACACACAGACTGGCACTCAGGTTATATTGCTGTGCCCTACTAGTTACTGTGGGTAGCTAGCTGGTGTTTTGTGTGTCCAGGACAAGCGCGTCTGGATGGGGCCTTCTGCTCCTACACAGAGAAGGATAAACAGGACTACCTGACCAAGGCCTATGAGTCTGGGGTTCGCAACATCGAGATGGACTCTTCCGTGTTTGCTGCCATGTGTAAACTCAGCGGTCTAAAAGGTACACCGCTGGTGTAGTTGTATCTATCCATGATGATAGGACAAGCCATATTAGCAGTTACACGCCAATAGTGTTATTCGCAGACATAAAGCTTTTAAAAATAAAAAACCCGTTGACTTTGTTAATGAAAGATGAAAGAAATATGCATATGTATTTGAATAGATGTATATTAAATATATGTATTTTACATCATATTAATGAACTTAAAGGTCCTAAAGTTGAACCTTTTGGTAGGATCAAAGTTCAGTAGCGTTGCTGGTAAATAAATAGGCTGGTCCCTGATCTGTTTGTGTTGTCATGCCAACTCCCTGTCTCATGTTTGACATGACAATGAGTGACAAGGAGTTGGCATGATACCGTAGCACAATCAGACTGGCACTCAGGCTAGTAAATAATCAACCTCTGTCCTCTGTCTCTGTGTTCCACTGAAGCGGCCGTGGTGTGTGGGACTCTACTGGGCCCTCAGAAAGGGGACCAGCTGATCAGCTCTCATCAAGTTCTCCACAGCTACCAACAACGTCCTCAGATACTGGTCGGCCACCTGATCAAAGGAGATGCTCCAAGCCTCAGGCTCTAGCAAAAGCTAGGCTCTTGCTTTTTAGCATTCTGATGGTACGTTACTTATGAAAGGCCACTTGTGCACAGAGTATACTAAACATTAAGGACACCATAACCCGTTCAAAGGCACTTCAATCTTTTGTCTTGCCCAGTCACCCTCTGAATGACACACATACACAATCCATGTCTCAATTGTCTCAAGGCTTAAAAATCCTTCTTTAACCTGTCTCCTCCCCCTCATCTACACTGATTTGAAGTGGATTTAACAAGTGACATCAATAAGGGATCGTAGCTTTCACCTGGATTCACCTGGTCAGTCTGTCATGGAACGAGGTGTTCTTAATGTTTTCTATGCTCAGTGTAAGTGTAATTTAGGGCAGCACTGATTCATACTCATTCCAAATCAAATCAAATCAAATCAAATTGTATTGGTCACATGCGCCAAATACAACAGGTGTAGACATTACAGTGAAATGCTTACTTACAGCCCTTAACCAACAGTGCGTTTATTTTTATCAAAAAAAGTAAAAATAAAACAACAACAAAAAAAGTGTTGAGAAAAAAAAAAGAGCAGAAGTAAAATAAAATAACAGTAGGGAGGCTATATATACAGGGGGGTACCGGTGCAGAGTCAATGTGCTAGTTGAGGTAGTTGAAGTAATATGTACATGTGGATAGAGTTAAAGTGACTATGCATAAATAATTAACAGAGTAGCAGCAGCGTAAGAAGGATGGGGTGGGGGGGGCAGTGCAAATAGTCCGGGTAGCCATGATTAGCTGTTCAGGAGTCTTATGGCTTGGGGGTAGAAGCTGTTGAGAAGTCTTTTGGACCTAGACTTGGCACTCCGGTACCGCTTGCCGTGCGGTAGCAGAGAGAACAGTCTATGACTAGGGTGGCTGGAGTCTTTGACAATTTTGAGGGCCTTCCTTTGACACCGCCTGGTATAGAGGTCCTGGATGGCAGGAAGCTTGGCCCCAGTGATGTACTGGGCCGTACGCACTACCCTCTGTAGTGCCTTGCGGTCGGAGGCCAAGCAGTTGCCATACCAGGCGGTGATGCAACCAGTCAGGATGCTCTCGATGGTGCAGCTGTAGAATTTTTTGAGGATCTGAGGACCCATGCCAAATCTTTTCAGTCTCCTGAGGGGGAATAGGCTTTGTCGTGCCCTCTTCACGACACTCTTGGTGTGTTTGGACCATGATAGTTCGTTGGTGATGTGGACACCAAGGAACTTGAAGCTCTCAACCTGTTCCACTACAGCCCCGTCGATGAGAATGTGGGCGTGCTCAGTCCTCTTTTTTTTCCTGTAGTCCACAATCATCTCCTTTGTCTTGGTCACGTTGAGGGAGAGGTTGTTGTCCTGGCACCACACGGCCAGGTCTCTGACCTCCTCCCTATAGGCTGTCTCATCGTTGTCGGTGATCAGGCCTACCACTGTTGTGTCGTCGGCAAACTTAATGATGGTGTTGGAGTCGTGCCTGGCCATGCAGTCATGGGTGAACAGAGAGTACAGGAGGGGACTGAGCACGCACCCCTGAGGGGCCCCCGTGTTGAGGATCAGTGTGGCAGATGTGTTGTTACCTACCCTTACCACCTGGGGGCGGCCCGTCAGGAAGTCCAGGATCCAGTTGCAGAGGGAGGGGTTTAGTCCCAGGATCCTTAGCTTAGTGATGAGCTTAGAGGGCACTATTCCATATAACCTGGCTGCTTTCACTATGGACTTCGCAATCATTCGCAATCGCAATGATTCTCAATCGCAATCATTGACCATATAGAATACAATATCTATCTATCGTATCAATGTTCTCTGGATTGTAGCTCAGTGTTACCAAGTTAGAATAGTAATCATAACAAACACCAAACACACCTCTTGCTTGACACTACCTCTATTTTATACCAAATAAACCAATGCTGGGTTAAGTAAAGTAACTTATTCCATAAATTGTTGCTTTGTGTGACATTAGAAAAGGGAATATTATACCCAGTTTGTTTCTAAACTCCTTGATCTTTTTTTAACCCCAAGCCTTTAAGATTGAATGTTTTGTTTTAATTTACCAGTATGTATATTTTAGTTGTATATGCTGTAGCTATGGTAACGAGCAAGTTATGAATATTAAAGTTAAAACTTCTCTGCACCAAAATGTATTTTTAGTCATTCTGAAGACTTATCAGCACTGCTTTGTACTGTACTATCAAATGTTGATCTGAAACCATAATCACACATTCCACATATTGTCTTGTTACTGAGAACATATGTAACCGAGTGCTTTTAATGTCACCTAATGAGCAATAAAACCACATTTACTGCAAATATTTCAGTGTGATTCAAATGTGTTTATGTCATCAACATTGTGCAGCAGCTAATCGGGATCCTTAATAAATACAAATACAGAAGCCGTCACTGTAGGGGTGGTTTCCCGGACACAGATTAAACCTAGTCCTGGACCTGGACATAAAAGCAAGATCAGTGTAGAATCTCCATTGAAAGTATCTTTATAGTCCAGGACTAGCTTTTAGCCCTATCTGTGTCCGGGAAACTGGCCCATAGTGTAGGGCAGGCCTTGGATTTTCTGTCATGCAGATTTCAGTTGATTGACATTGATCATTGATTGACTCTTGCCCCTAGCAGCATTTCCTTGCCTCATTGATAAATGCACTAATTCACTATACCAACATTGTGATGATGCTCCATGTTTTCCCATTTCGCTGTGTCTGAAGCCATTCATAAAGTCTGGTAGCCTATAGCACATGTGAGCTAGGGGCGTGTTCAAGAGCGACATGTGAATGTGTTTAGGTCAGGAATGCGTTCCATAGGCTTATATATCATTATAATATACACTATATATACAAAAGTATGTGGACACCTCATCAAATGAGTGGATTTGGCTATTTCAGCCACACCCGTTGCTGACAGGTGTATAAAATAGACATAGACAAACATTGGCAGTAGAATGGCCCATACTGAAGAGCTCAGTGACTTTCAACGTGGCACCGTCATAGGATGCCACCTTTCCAACAAGTCAATTCGTCAAATTGCTGCCCTGCTAGAGCTGCCCAGGTTAACTGTAAGTGCTGTTATTGTGAAGTGGAAACATCTAGGAGCAACAACGGATCAGCCGCAAAGTGATAGGCCACACAAGCTCACTGAACGGGACCGCTGAGTGCTGAACGCATAGTGCATAAAAATAGTTTGTCCTCGGTTGCAACACTCACTACCGAGTTCCAAACTGCCTCTTGAAGCAACGTCAGCACAAGAACTGTTCGTCTGGAGCTTCATGAAATGCGTTTCCATGGCCGAGCAGCCGCACACAAGCCTAAGATCACCATGTGCAATGCCAAGCGTCGGCTGGAGTGGTGTAAAGGTCGCCGCCATTGGACTCTGGAGCAGTGGAAACGCGTTCTCTGGAGTGATGAATCACGTTTCACCATCTGACAGATGAATCTGGGTTTGGCGGATGCCAGGAGAACGCTACCTGCCCCAATGTATAGTGCCGACTGTAAAGTTTGGTGAAGGCCCTTTCCAGTTTCAGCATGACATTGCCCCCATGTACAAAGCAAGGCCCATACAGAAATTATTTTTCGAGATCGGTGTGGAAGAACTTGACTGGCCTGCACAGAGCCATGACCTCAACCCCATCGAACACCTTTGGATGAATTCGAACGCCGACTGCGAGCCAGGCCTAATCGCCCAACATCAGTGCCTGACCTCACAATTGCTCTTGTTGCTGAATGGAAGCAAGTCCCCACAGCAATGTTCCAACATCTAGTGGAAAGCCTTCCCAGAACAGTGGATGCTGTTATAGGAGCAAAGGGGGAACCAACTCCATATTAATGCCCATGATTTTGGAATGAGATGTTCGACGAGCAGGTGTCAACATACTTTTGGTCATGTAGTGTATTTGTAAGTATTTAAACATTTCAAAATATAATACTTTATACGTTTTTCCAGAAATGTACATCTGTAACATTTTACTGTTGGCTATTCTTGATTAGTCACCTACCACTAGGTATGTTCTATTGCTGTGGATGGAATGTCTGATCTCGACGCGAGATGCGCGTCAAAGGACAAAGGGTGGCCAAGCAATCTGCTCGTGCGCAGAGCCGCTCATAATTCAACTGCTCCCATTTTCCAGCTCGCTCCGCGCCTCTCATCTTGATCCGAGTCCCCGGTCTTGTCTTTTTCGCTGACTCAGTGCCTTAAAACAACATTTTCGCCACTCTGACCATAGCTGCAACACCCGCTGCTACGACACAGACAGCCATGGCCAAAACTGCAATTGGTAAGGATGCGAGTAAGATTTTTCAGCATGTATTACTGTTAGGGTTTTATTATAGTGATGGATGCTGAGATCTAAGCCGACACCTGCATTCGCCTCATCGTTTCTTTACAGTATATGGGCCCATAGGGACTGCAGGCAAAAACTGCTGTTCTAGATTGGACATTATATGGATGTTATGACTTAATATAAAGTATAAGATTTATTTTGGTTAAGGTGTTGACGCGATTGCTTTTTTATTATTATTTATATCCGTTTTATTCACAACTCTGCACCTACTGCTGGTGATACAGAGGTGGCTCTAGTGGAGGCATAATGCAGAGAGACCCCACCCAATGCGCCGGTCTGACTACCATTTCAACACTCCCTGACAGGATGAGATATAATTACTTTTTTCATTTATATACTTTTATAAGTATACTGTCATAACGGTTATATCGCTTGTTTGAGCTCGAATATGACAGAGAATCTATTAGTAGGTGAATGAACGGCGCGTGCTGACAATGCATTGAATTAAGTGGTTCATTTGTTAGGCTACAATAGTTAGTCATGTATTTGATTCCATCATTTGGCTGTTATTCAATTTGGCAGTTGTGTGTATTTTATATTACAGTACATTTGGATTACATTTGAAGACATTAAACAAAAAGTATACATTGATAAGGGCCTTGTCATCAATATTAGCCATGAAATGCTAATGCAAAATAATAAGGCCTGGAGTATTTTGTTTTGTTTTAGTGAAGGATTCTACACTGAATAAAACTGTTATATGTCAATATAACACACAATAAACAGGGAGAGAAAACAATTAGTTGCTGTAGATTTTATGTCTTGTTTGACATTTTTCTGAGTTGTTTCTCAGTGGAACTGTAAACGTGATTGATTACCCTCTAAAATTACTTCATGAGTTGATTCTCTTTTCAGTATAATCTGAGAATAGAATAGCCAACGCTTAAAAGTAATAGGCCTACTTTCTGATCTCTGTTGTACCTAGAAATACTTGCTCTTGGGGTTCCATAGAGCCTGAATGCATTCTATGTGCTGTAAGGCCTACATTCTATTATGGAATGGATATGGATTCATGCAGTTCTATTGAATCTTAGTAAGTACGATGACATGTGGCAGCAGGCTGTGTTGAGCTGTGAGCCATGGCACGCAGGCGTAGCACGCCGTCAGACAGCAGGCTGGGAGAGTGGCCAGCCCTGCAGCAATGGGCCGCTCCACACGCTGCTGGCCTTTGCAGCAGTTGGCTAATCAGTATTGACAATCTGCAGTCCTCTTCGGACAGAGCTCTCTCTCTGATACTGTACCTTAGTGAAGGCAGGGCTACTAGTACCTAATACAGTAGGGTGATAGGAATACAGTAGGTAGACAATTTATTTTGGTGTTGGTGTTGGGGGAGAGACTTTGTGTGCGCCCTATGGGCCCTGGTCAAAAGTGGTGCCCTATAATGCGAATAGGGTGCCATTTTGAATTTGACACAGCCTGTCTCTTCCAAATCCCTCCATCACTATTGAACCCTGTAAGAAAGTGATTACTTCCTCGTAATAATTACAATTTAAACAGTATTAAGATAGAGAGTAGCATCTAGCCTTTAGCTCCTGCCCACAGGATACTGCTAATGCCCATTAGCTCAGTGTTATCAGATCATGATATAATTAATTAGTAGCGCTCAAGTTCAACAAAAATACATGATCAGTTATGGGCTTTAATACTGTCAGTGTGAAGCAAGCCTGTATGAATGTTATGCATTTCCACACAGCCAACAAACAGCATAATGACAATGTTATCTCCTATAGGTGCCATTATAGTGTCTGACTTTGGCTGTCTAAAATTCCCTATATTATGCTTTACCTTTGCACTATATAGGGAATAGGGTGCTAAAGCACTACAGCACCTTGGGAAAGTATTCAGACCCCTTGACCTTTTCCACATTTTGTTACGTTACAGCCTTTTTTCTAAAATGGATCAAATAAAATAAATGTCCTCATCAATCTACACACAATACCCCATAATGACAAAAAGGTTTTTTGAAATGTTTTCAAATTTATAAAAAATAAAAAACAAAAATACATTATTTACATAAGTATTCAGATCCTTTGCTGTGAGACTCAAAATTCAGCTCAGGTGCATTCTGTTTCCATTGATCATCCTTGAGATGTTTCTACAACTTGATTCGAGTCCACCTGTGGAAATTCAATTGATTGGACATGATTTGGAAAGGCACACACCTGTCTATATAAATTCCCACAGTCGACAGTGCATGTCAGAGCAAAAACCAAGCCATGAGGTCAAAGGAATTGTCCATAGAGCTCAGAGAAAGGATTGTGTCGAGGCACAGATCTGGGGAAGGGTACCAAAACATTTCTGCAGCATTGAAGGTCCCCAAAGACACAGTGGCCTCCATCATTCTTAAATGGAAGATGTTTGGAACCACCAAGACTCTTCCTAGAGCTGGCCGCCCGGCCAAATTGAGCAATCGGGGGAGAAGGGCCTTGGTCAGGGAGGTGACCAAGAACCCGATGGTCACTCTGACAGAGCTCTAGAGTTTCTCTGTGGAGATGGGAGAACCTTCCAGAAGGACAACCATCTCTGCAGCACTCCACCAATCAGGCCAATATGGTAGAGTGGCCAACGTAAGCCACTCCTCAGTAAAAGGCACATGACAGCCCGCTTGGAGTTTGCATAAAGGCACCTAAAGACTCTCAGACCATGAGAAACCAGACTTGTCTGATGAAACCAAGATTCAACTCTTTGGCCTTAATGCCAAGCGTCACGTCTGGAGGAAACCTGACACCATCCCTACGGTGAAGCATGGTGGTGGCAGCATCATGCTGTGGGGGTGTTTTCAGCTGCAGGGACTGGGAGACTAGTCAGGATCGAGGGAAAGATGAACAGAGCAAAATACAGAAAGATCCTTGATGACAACCTGCTCCAGAGCACTCAGGACCTCAGACTGGGGTGAAGGATCACCTTCCAACAGGACAACGACCCTAAGCACACAGCCAAGACAACGCAGGAGTGGCTTCGGGACAAGTCTCTGAATGTCCTTGAGTGGCCCAGCCAGAGCCCGGATTGAACCCGATCAAACATCTCTGGAGAGACCTGAAAATAGCTGTGCAGCAACGCTCCCCATCCAACCTGACAGAGTTTGAGAGGATCTGCAGAGAGGAATGGAAGAAACTCCCCAAATAAAGGTGTGCCAAGCTTGTAGCATCATACCCAAGAAGACTCAAGGCTGTAATTGCTGCGAAAGGTGCTTCAACAAAGTACTGAGTAAAGGGTCTGAAAACGTATGTAAATGTGATATTTCTGTTTTTTATTTTTTAATAAATTAGCAAACATTTCTAAAAACCTTTTTTTTCTTTGTCATTATGGGGTATTGTGTGTAGATTGATGAGGGAGAAAAACAATGTAATAAATGTTATAATAAGGCTGTAACCAAACAACATTTGGAAAAAGTGAAGGGGTCTGAAGACTTTCCGAAGGCCATTTTGGAATCCTCCACGTGTTAACAGTCTGGTGTGTTTGTATTCCCTCAGCATACAAAGAGAAGATGAAGGAGCTGTCTGTTTTCTCCCTCATCTGCTCCTGCTTCTATCCAGAGGCACGTAACAAGCTGGTCGTCTGTGAGTTTGAAGGTAAGAACCAGAGGCACGCAACAAGCTGGTTGTCTGGGAGTCTGAAGGTAAGAACTAGAGACATGTAACAAGCTGGTCGTCTGTGAGTTTGAAGGTAAGAACCAGAGGCACTCAACAAGCTGGTCTTCTGGGAGTCTGAAGGTAAGAACTAGAGGCATGTAACAAGCTGGTCGTCTGTGAGTTTGAAGGTAAGAACCAGAGGCACACAAGAAGCTGGTCATCTGTGAGTTTGAAGGTAAGAACCAGAGGCATGTAACAAGCTGGTCGTCTGGGAGTTTGAAGGTAAGAACCAGAGGCACACAACAAGCTGGTCGTCTGGGAGTTTGAAGGTAAGAACCAGAAGCACGCAACAAGCTGGTCATCTGTGAGTTTGAACTATAGAAGAAGAAAAATTAAAAAAAGAAGAAGAAAAATACAATATATTCTTATACAATATATAAGAATATATATATATATATATAAAATACAAAATAAGTGTTTTTTGTCTTGTATTTAATTGTTGACAGCCAGTAGATGCCATGTTTACATTGGAAAAGGCGACGCATTTAAGTTGATTATGTTGTGCAATGGAAGTTGCTTTCTGTTGGTGGTAAGCAAACTTGTCTAACAAAAATATAGGATATATTTGTTGTCTTAAGGGGGAAGGTGTTATAGGTTTTGGTTTTTCCATTTATGTTTTGAGGTTGGTCTTTAGCACGTATAGCTCGTTAGCACGTAGGGCGCACCGATTGGTGTCACCTCGTTAGTCAGTATGTGTTACACCTCTGCTGGAAGCCATCTCGTTAGAGGGAAGGTATTTCACCTGTGCTGGCCCAGGTGCTATTTAAGAGTGGCTGGCCTGGTGCTCCAATTGTTTTGATAGATGTGGAGGGTTAACACCTTTAGTTGTCTTGCTAGATGTGGAGGGTTGACTCCTTTAGTTGTCTTGATAGATGTGGAGGGTTAACTCCTTTAGTTGTCTTGATAGATGTGGAGGGTTAACTCCTTTAGTTGTCTTGATAGATGTGGAGGGTTAACTCATTTAGTTGTCTTGATAGATGTGGAGGGTTAACTCCTTTAGTTGTCTTGATAGATGTGGAGGGTTAACTCCTTTAGTTGTCTTGATAGATGTGGAGGGTTAACTCCTTTAGTTGTCTTGATAGATGTGGAGGGTTAACTCTTTTAGTTGGCTCTCCCTATTTTGATTTCTAGACAAACAATCCATTATCTGATTTCCCTGATTTCGTTTTGCTCCAGCTTTTGGTTTGCTTCCTGTCTTTTAGTTTGGGTTTTTTATTTTGTTTGCCTCTTCTTGGGCAAATTTAGTAGGTGCTCATGGTGGGTGTCTTTTAGGTCCCAGTTGTTGTTGCTAGTCAGCTTTCAGTGGACACCCCAATGAGTGTCTTTCAGAATCCCACCGGTTTCATTTTGGTTGTTGGTCTGTGACTCTTTGTTAGTTCCCCCTTCTGTTTGAGCGACATTGTTGTTTTTTTCTTGCTGCGGAACATAACACACGACACGTTTTACTTCCAATGCGTAGTCTTTCAGATCAAGTCAAAGCACTACAGTCTGATTGTCACTGTAGTTGACCTGATGCCATTTCAGCTCAATCCAGGAGCTGAGCCCTTTATTGTATTGGAAGATCTTTATCTTTTACCGTTATTGTTTTGAATGTCCTCCTGAATTGACGAAGATTATTTTATTGTCCAATGTACATGGAAGTCCAACAGAAACTTTTCTCATGCTTTATTCCAACACCTCAGAAAAACATTCACAAGACACACATGAAATGGTTTGACATGCACATATCTTCACATATCTTTTGGACATGCCCTAAATTACAACCTTCCTGGACATACATAATCTATTAACTCAAAGACATGTTTAAAGTGGACATCCAAATAATATAACATATCTCAGAATTACTCCACAAGCACTCAACAATACAGACAAACTGCCATATAACATCTTAATTATTGCAAGTAAAAATGCAATAGCAAGACACTGGCTGTCACTTCAATTACCAACCATCCTGGACTGGACCAACATTACCAACCATCCTGGACTGGACCAACATTACCAACCATCCTGGACTGGACCAACATTACCAACCATCCTGGACTGGACCAACATTACCAACCATCCTGGACTGGACCAACATTACCAACCATCCTGGACGGGACCAACATTACCAACCATCCTGGACTGGACCAACATTACCAACCATCCTGGACTGGACCAACATTACCAACCATCCTGGACGGGACCAACATTACCAACCATCCTGGACTGGACCAACATTACCAACCATCCTGGACGGGACCAACATTACCAACCATCCTGGACTGGACCAACATTACCAACCATCCTGGACTGGACCAACATTACCAACCAACCTGGACTGGACCAACGTAACCAACCATCCTGGACGGGACCAACATTACCAACCATCCTGGACGGGACCAACATAACCAACCATCCTGGACGGGACCAACATTACCAACCATCCTGGACTGGACCAACATAACCAACCATCCTGGACGGGACTAACATAACCAACGGCATCCAAGATATGGGAAAAAATAACAGTTACAACCCGTTTGAAACTGGACCCCTTTGTAAATACCTGGACCAAATGGACATCATATATAAACCAAAAAAACAACATAACCCATCTAGACCACAGACCCCAGAAGACCAGACCCCAGAACATAGAAGACCAGACCCCAAACTCAAGAAGACCAGATCCCAGAAGACCAGACCCCAGAATACCAGACCCAGAAGATCAGACCCCCGACCCCAGAAGACCAGACCTTAGAAGACCAGACCTTAGAAGACCAGACCTTAGAAGACCAGACCTTAGAAGACCCGACCTTAGAAGACCAGACCCCAGAATACCAGACCCAGAAGATCAGACCCCCGACCCCAGAAGACCCGACCTTAGAAGACCAGACCTTAGAAGACCCGACCTTAGAAGACCAGACCCCAGAAGACCCGACCTTAGAAGACCAGACCCCAGAAGACCAGACCTTAGAAGACCAGACCCCAGAAGACCAGACCTTAGAAGACCAGACCCCAGAAGACCAGACCTTAGAAGACCAGACCCCAGAAGACCAGACCACAGAACAACTAGACACACAGGAAGAAGGATAAAGAACCAGGGTGAAGATGGAGGAAATATATTTATCTTAAACAGATGATATGTTTAAATAAATGTAAAATGTAAATTAAATGTTTTTTTATTAAATAATAAAGTAGTCCTCTGAAAGTTTTCACTTGTTTTTCAGACATGGAGGTGAAGCCAATCAACAAGCGGGCGTCGGGCCAGGCCTTCGAGGTGTTTCTGAAGCCCCCCTCCCCGGTGTCAGACGCGACCCATAGCATCATTTCGCCCCCCAAGAGGGAGGTGTCCCTAGAGGACATCCAGAAGAAACTGGAGGCAGCTGAGGACCGGAGGAGGGTGAGTAGTAGAACTATAGAACTAGAATTATAGAACTGCAGTAGGGAATTCTATATCTAGTGATTCTACTTCTATGGTGACATCACTGCTCTGTGGTCCAGTCCTGAAGAGGGTGAGTATTAGAACTATAGAACTAGAATGATAGAACTGCAGTAGGGAATTCTATATCTAGTGATTCTACTTCTATGGTGACATCACTGCTCTGTGGTCCAGTCCGGAAGAGGGTGAGTAGTAGACCTGAAATAGAACTAGAATAATATAACTTTTAGAAAAAAGGGTTCCAAAAGTGTTCTTCAGCTGTCCCCATAGGATAACCCTTTTTGCCTGCTGTCTGATAGCACCTTTTTTCCCCCTAAGAGTGTATAGAATTCTATATCTTTGAGTAGGACACCCCAGGGCCCTGTGTGTTATAATAATTAATATCCATATAATTAGAATCACTAGAACAGCCGTCCCATTCAAGTTCACATTCCGTGGTGGATGGAGCGGCGGCCATATTGAATGTACCAGTCAAATTACACTGTGGTCTGAGGTGCTTTGACCATTCTGGTGATTCTAACTCTATGGTGACATCCCTGGTCTCTCTGTGGTCCAGTCCCAGTCCTAGTGATTCTAACGCTATGGTGACATCCCTGGTCTCTCTGTGGTCCAGTCCCAGTCCTAGTGATTCTAACTCTGTGGTGACATCCCTGCTCTCTCTGTGGTCCAGTCCCAGTCCTAGTGATTCTAACTCTATGGTGACATCCCTGGTCTCTCTGTGGTCCAGTCCCAGTCCTAGTGATTCTAACTCTATGGTGACATCCCTGGTCTCTCTGTGGTCCAGTCCCAGTCCTAGTGATTCTAACTCTGTGGTGACATCCCTGCTCTCTCTGTGGTCCAGTCCCAGTGATTCTAACTCTATAGTGACATCCCTGCTCTCTCTGTGGTCCAGTCCTAGTGATTCTAACTCTATGGTGACATCCCTGGTCTCTCTGTGGTCCAGTCCCAGTCCTAGTGATTCTAACTCTATGGTGACATCCCTGCTCTCTCTGTGGTCCAGTCCCAGTCCCTAGTGATCTACACGCTTCTAGCTCGGGATATAGTGACATCCCGCTCTCTCTGGGGTCCAGTCCACAGATCCCAGTGATTGCTAACTCGATATGTGACATCCCCTGCTCCTCTCTTGTGGTCCAGTCCTAGTGATTCTATAAACGCTAATGGTGTACCATCCCCTACTCTCCTTTGGGGTCCCGGATCCCCAGTGATTCCAACTCTATAGTGACATCCCTGGCTCTCGTCTGTGGTCCAGTCCCTAGTGATTCTAACTCCTAAGTGGTGACATCCCTGGTTCGCTCTGTGGGTCCAGTCCCAGTCCTAGTGATTCTAACTCTATGGTGACATCACTGGTCTCTCTGTTGTCCAGTCCCAGTCCCTAGTGATTCTAACTTAGGGTGACCATCCCTGCTCTCCACTTTGGTCCAGTCTCAGTCCTAGCGATTCTAACTCTGTGGTGACAATCCCCTGGTTCTCTCTGTGGTCCACCCAGCTAGTGATTCGAACTCTATGGTGACATCTGCTCTACTGTGGTCCATCTAGGATCTAACTCTATGGTGACACTGCATTCTTGTGGTCCAGTCCCAGTCTAGTGGATTAACGCTATGTGATTCCCTTCCTCTCTGTGGTCCAGTCCGTCCTGTGATTCAACTCTGTTGGGACATACCCTGGTCCCTGGTGTCCAGCCAAAAGTCGGTATGATTCTACTCTAGGTGACACCCCTGGTCTCTCTGTGTCCATCCCAGTCCTATGATTCTAACTCCTATGGTGACATCCCTGGTCCCCTAGCTGGTCCAGTCCCAGTCATTGATTCTAACTCTATGGTGACATCCCTGTCCCTCTGTGGTCCATCCCAAGAGCCCAGGTCTGAGGGCCCCTGCAGAGAAGCAGGGAGCACGAGGACTTGCTCAAGGCCATGGAAGAGTAACAGCAATTTCATGGATGGCAGAGGAGAAGCTCCATGAAGTGGAAAGAATCAAAGGAGAACCGGGAGGCCCACCTGGCAGCCATGATGGAACGCCTGCAGGAGAAGGTGAGAGGAGACTGACCAGTAGTACTGTAGTAGTAGTACTGTAGTAGTAGTAATGGAGTAGTAGTAGTAGTACTGTAGTAGTAGTAATGGAGTAGTGGAGTAGTAGTAGTAGTACTGTAGTAGTAGTAATGGAGTAGTAGTAGTAGTAGTAGTAGTAGTAGTAGTAGTAGTAGTAGTAGTAGTAGTAGTAGTAGTAGTAGTAGTAGTAATGGAGTAGTAAGGTAGTAATGGAGTAGTAGTAGTATCAGTAGTAGTACAGTAGTAGTAGTAGTAGTAGTAGTAGTAGTAGTAGTAGTAGTAGTAGTAAGGTAGTAATGGAGTAGTAATGTAAGATGGATCAAGGAGAACCGCCAGGCCCACCTGGCAGCCATGATGGAACACCTGCAGGAGAAGGTGTGATCTAGAATTAGAATGATTGAACTAGAAAATAAATTATAATTCTAAGAGACCACTAGGGGTGCATCACGACTGTATATCGTTTAGCTATAACTTCCTGTCCAGTGTTGATATTAGCTTCCTACTCTCTATCTGCGGTGTCTGTCTGTGTCCTGTGTTTCAGGAAAGACACGCAGCCGTGGTGCGCAGGAACAAAGAGCTGAGGGAAGAGCTGACAGCGTGAGCCCCACCTCTCCCCAACGTCCACCAACCACATCCCTCCATCCAGCCTCACACCTGGTCACTCCACAGCAGACACCAAGCCCTGGAGACCTGGAGGGTGGAGGACCTCACTACCAACACACTACACCACCCACCCAACCCCTCCATACACACAAACACACACACACACACACACTCTATCAGTATTAACAGTATTCTTCATTGGATAATGAATGATTTTTTTTCCTAAGGGGAAAAAATCAACAACATGAAAACATAGGTATTATTTTGTAAATATTTCATTTTTTAATCTATCTTGATGGCTAGGCTGATTGAGCGCAAATAAGTGTATCAAATGTACTGCGTTGTACAATTTCAACTGTTTTGTTCGTTATCTCATTTTTTATTGGTTCTTGAAATTTGAATCCACAAATATTTTCTTGTGAAAGGCTTTGGTGTTGTGAGTTGGTTGTTAGCTGACGTTTGCATTGTTTTCTGATGATGTCAGTTTCTGTGTCTTTGTGAAGAATGCTAACAGACTCCTGACAGGCATCCCACACACACACACACACACACACACACACGTACACACAATTACACACACGCTATGAACGCACATTAACAATCTGCCAAACCCTCGGCTTGAAATGTCCACATGTCCTCAAATGAGCTTGAGGTAGCTGGAACTAGAGATATGCTTGGTCATCTTTAACCATGTGTGTGTCCAGAGGGATCAACTGTTTATCACTTCCTCCAGACTGACCCCTGACTATATATGGCAGCCTATTCCCTATAAAGTGCACTACTGTTGACCAGAGTAGTGCAGTAAATAGGGTATAGTGTTCCATTTGGGATGCAGCCCCGGGTGATTTACTTTAGCTTAATCTAGTCTGTTATTTCACACTTGAATGTTATGATTACATCATACCGCCACCGTACATGACATCTTGGCCAGTAAAATGTTCTAAAGCCCCCCTTTTCCTTTAGCTTGATAGACTAACACAGACGCACATGTTCACTCTAAGTCTACGTGTGTGTGTGTGTGTTTCAAGTGAGGTGTCATATCATCAGCGTCCTCTTTCTGGTAGTTCCATAGATAGAGAATGGATGCTCCACATTCAGCACACTAAAATGACTCTTTTTAGACATGTCACAACGATCTGCCTGCATCCTCCACAAGCTGACTACTACAGTACAAGAGTTCTCCCTCCGTATGTCTCAAGCTTCGCTGAATAAAGCTTTGGGGTTCTGTCAACATAGCATGCGCCATCTCATTATTTTCTGTGCTAAAGACAAGGAAACATGTAAACTGCCAAATAAAAGAACCAATGACCTAAACATAATGAGTGGTGTTGATGTTTTAGGAATGACTTCTCTGTCCTGTCGATAAGATACGTTGAGTAGGCTACTGTGAGTGATGTAAGTAGAAAAATGTATGCACTCACTAACTGTAAGTCGCTCTGGATAAGAGCGTCTGCTAAAATGACTAAAATGTAAAAATGTAGAACAGGGTTTCCCAAACTCGGTCCTGGGGACCCCAAGGGGTGCACCTTTTGGTTTTGGCCCTAGCACTACACATTTTACATTTACATTTTAGTCATTTAGCAGACGCTCTTAACCAGAGCGACTTACAGGAGCAATTAGGGTTAAGTGCCTTGCTCAAGGGCACATTTACGTCATTTAGCAGACGCTCTTATCCAGAACGACTCACCAATTGGTGCGTTCACCCTATAGCCAGTGGGATAACCACTTTACAATTTTTTTTTGGGGGGGGGGGGGGGGGGGGTAGAAGGATTACTTTATCCTATCCCAGGTAATCCTTAAAGAGGTGGGGTTTCAAATGTCTCCGGAAGGTGGTGAGTGACTCCGCTGTCCTGGCGTCGTGAGGGAGCTTGTTCCACCATTGGGGTGCCAGAGCAGCGAACAGTTTTGACTGGGCTGAGCGGGAGCTGTGCTTCCGCAGAGGAAGGGGAGCCAGCAGGCCAGAGGTGGATGAGCGCAATGCCCTCGTTTGGGTGTAGGGACTGATCAGAGCCCGAAGGTACAGAGGTGCCGTTCCCCTCACTGCTCCATAGGCAAGCACCATGGTCTTGTAGCGGATGCGAGCTTCAACTGGAAGCCAGTGGAGTGTGCGGAGGAGGGGGGTGACGTGAGAGAACTTGGGAAGGTTGAACACCAGACGGGCTGCGGCATTCTGGATGAGTTGTAGGGGTTTAATGGCACAGGCAGGGAGGCCAGCCAACAGCGAGTTGCAGTAGTCCAGACGGGAGATGACAAGTGCCTGGATTAGGACCTGTGCCGCTTCCTGTGTAAGGCAGGGTCGTACTCTCCGAATGTTGTAGAGCATGAACCTGCAGGAGCGGGTCACCGCCTTGATGTTGGCGGAGAACGACAGGGTGTTGTCCAGGGTCACGCCTAGGCTCTTCGCACTCTGGGAGGAGGACACAGCGGAGTTGTCAACCGTGATGGCGAGATCATGGAACAGGCAGTCCTTCCCCGGGAGGAAGAGCAGCTCCGTCTTGCCAGGGTTCAGCTTGAGGTGGTGATCCGTCATCCATACTGATATGTCTGCCAGACATGCAGAGATGCGATTCGCCACCTGGTTATCAGAAGGGGGAAAGGAGAAGATTAGTTGTGTATCGTCAGCGTAGCAATGATAGGAGAGGCCATGTGAGGATATGACAGAGCCAAGTGACTTGGTGTATAGGGAGAAAAGGAGAGGGCCTAGAACTGAGCCCTGGGGGACACCAGTGGTGAGAGCACGTGGTGCGGAGACAGCTTCTCGCCACGCCACTTGGTAGGAGCGACCGGTCAGGTAGGACGCAATCCAGGAGTGAGCCGCGCCGGAGATGCCCAGCTCGGAGAGGGTGGAGAGGAGGATCTGATGGTTCACAGTATCAAAGGCAGCAGACAGGTCTAGAAGGACAAGAGCAGAGGAGAGAGAGTTAGCTTTAGCAGTGCGGAGAGTCTCCGTGACACAGAGAAGAGCAGTCTCAGTTGAATGACCAGTCCTGAAACCTGACTGGTTTGGATCAAGAAGGTCATTCTGAGAGATATAGCAGGAGAGTTGGCTAAAGACGGCACGCTCAATAGTTTTGGAAAGAAAAGAAAGAAGGGATACTGGTCTGTAGTTGTTGACATCAGTGGGATCGAGTGTTGGTTTTTTGAGAAGGGGAGCAACTCTCGCTCTCTTGAAGATGGAAGGGACATGGCCAGCGGTCAAGGAGGAGTTGATCAGCGAGGTGAGGTAGGGGAGAAGGTCACCGGAGATGGTCTGGAGAAAAGAGGAGGGGATGGGGTCAAGCGGGCAGGTTGTTGGGCGGCCTGCAGTCACAAGTCGCAGGATTTTATCTGGAGAGAGAGGGGAGAAAGAAGTCAAAGCATAGGGAAGGGCAGTGTGAGTAGGACCAGCAGTGTCATTAGACTTAGCAAACGAGGATCGAATGTCGTCAACCTTCTTTTCAAAGTGGTTGACGAAGTCATCCACAGAGAGAGAGGGGGGGGGGGGGGGGGGGGGGGGGGAGGATTCAGCAGGGAAGAAAATGTGGCAAAGAGCTTCCTAGGGTTAGAGGCAGATGCTTGGAATTTAGAGTGGTAGAAAGTGGCCTTAGCAGCAGAAACAGATGAAGAAAATGTAGAGAGGAGGGAGTGAAAAGATGCCAGGTCGGCAGGGAGTTGAGTTTTCTTCCATTTCCGCTCCGCTGCCCGGAGCTCTGTTCTGTGAGCTCGCAATGAGTCATCAAGCCACGGAGCTGGAGGGGAGGACCGAGCCGGCCGGGAGGATAGGGGACACAGAGAGTCAAAGGATGCAGAAAGGGAGGAGAGGAGGGTTGAGGAGGCAGAATCAGGAGATTGGAGGGAGAAGGATTGAGCAGAGGGAAGAGATGATAGGATGGAAGAGGAGAGAGTAGTGGGAGAGAGAGAGCGAAGGTTGCGGCGGCGCATTACCATCTGTGTAGGGGCAGAGTGAGTAGTGTGGGAGGAGAGCGAGAGAGAAAAGGAAACAAAGTAGTGGTCAGAGACATGGAGGGGAGTTGCAGTGAGATTAGTAGAAGAGCAGCATCTAGTAAAGATGAGGTCAAGCGTATTGCCTGCCTTGTGAGTAGGGGGGGACGGTGAGAGGGTGAGGTCAAAAGAGGAGAGGAGTGGAAAGAAGGAGGCAGAGAGAAATGAGTCAAATGTGGACACAGGGAGGTTGAAATCCCCCAAAACTGTGAGGGGTGAGCCATCCTCAGGAAAGGAACTTATCAAGGCGTCAAGCTCATTGATGAACTCTCCAAGGGAACCTGGGGGGCGATAGATGAAAAAGAAAATTAAGCATAAATGGGCTAGTGACTGTGACAGCATGGAATTCAAATGAGGAGATAGACAGATGGGTTAGGGGAAAAATTGAGAATGTCCACTTGGGAGAGATGAGGATTCCTGTGCCACCACCCCTCTGACCAGATGCTCTCGGGGTATGCGAGAACACATGGTCAGACGAGGAGAGAGCAGTAGGAGTAGCAGTGTTTTCAGTGGTAATCCATGTTTCCGTCAGCGCCAGGAAGTCGAGGGACTGGAGGGTAGCATAGGCTGGGATGAAGTCAGCCTTGTTGGCGGCAGAACGGCAGTTCCAGAGGCTGCCTGAGACCTGGAACTCCAGGTGTGTGGTGCGTGCAGGGACCACCAGGTTAGAGAGGCAGCAGCCACGCGGTGTGAGGCGTTTGTGTAGCCTGTGCGGAGAGGAGAGAACAGGGATAGGCAGAGGCATAGTTGACAGGCTGCAGCAGATGGCTACAATAATGCAGAGGAGATCGGGATGAAATGAACTGAACATCAGGGAAAGGAGAGAGCAGGCCTCCCTCACCAAAAAAAATAAATATATATATATAACCCTCCCAACTTCCACCTCAGAAACTATAATTGTTTCACTGAACCACCCGAGTAAAACTCTCCCAACTTCCACTTTAGAAATTAGAATTGTTGTAGACTACAGCAGACTTATCAGTAGCTGTGATTAAGTACAGCAGCTACCAACCACCTAACGTTAATGCCTTGGATGAGGTTAGAAAAACAGCTGAATGGTAGCAGCTAGCTGGCTCAATCACAGGTACTCTCAAGCATGAAATAACATTGGAAACAATTAACCACAGTTGCAAAAAGTTACCAGTAGCTACCCGCTAGCTAGCTAGCTTTGTTGGTCCAAGTAGTGGGTAGGTTAGCCTCGTGCTTCGCCGGAGTCCGCCGAATACAGTCCTTACCTACAATAATTACCTACAATAACCTTCAATAACTACCTGAGTAAGCTACCTATAATACCAAACTACAATACCTACCTACAATCTAAATACATGGTTTAAGCTTAACTCAACACCATATAAGAAGCCAAGCTTACCTTTCATAACGCAGCAATGATTAAACGTTGGGTAGCTAGCACAAAGATATTGTATTTAGCTACCACAGTACAGCCAGCTGGTAGTGTTGGCTGGCTAGCAATGGCTACTGTGTTGACTTTGTTTGAAGAACGGCGTCGCTGCGAACGAATGTAGCTGGCGAAAGGGATATTGTTTTTAGTTGCAACCGTTGCTAATAGCAACTCGCCAGCTAATCCAGGAGGTGAGTTAGCTAGCTAGCTTCGTGCTACATCCGGCACCGCCGAATACAAAAGTAACCTACAATAACTACACAACAGCTACCCACAACAGCCCACGATGCCTACCTATACTACTTAATAATATACAGCCCACGATGCCTACCTATAGTACCTAACTACAATCTAAATACATAGCTTAAACCTTACTCGACAAAGCCCAAGCTATGTATAAAGCCAAACTGGCAGACTGCAATCAGTAGCCGAAATTAAGTACAGCAGCTACCAACCACCTAACGTTAATGATAATGAGGTTAGAAAAACAGCTGAAGGTGGCAGCTAGCTGGCTCAATTACAGGTACTCTTAAGCGTGAAATAACATTGGAAACAGCTAACCACAGTTGCTAAAAGTTACCGGTAGCTACCCGCTAGCTAGCTAGCTTTGTTGGTCCAAGTAGTGGGTAGGCTAGCCTCGTGCTTCGCCGGGGTCCGCCGAATACAGTCCTTACCTACAATAATTACCTACAATAACTACCTGAGTAAGCTACCTATAATACCAAACTACAATACCTACCTACAATCTAAATACATGGTTTAAGCTTAACTCAACACCATATAAGAAGCCAAGCTTACCTCTCCTGCTAGAGAAAACACAACCTCTCCCGTCAGCTCAGTTGTACACAGCTGATATAAATAATCAACTAATCATCAAGCTTTGATTATTTGAATCAGCTGTGTAGTGCTAGGACAAAAACCAGAACGTGCACCCCTTGGGGTCCCAGAGGACCGAGTTTGGGAAACGCTAAAGTAGACTATCACCCATTATTTTTTTAAATTGTATTTTCAAATGCTCCCGATTGTAATTGATTATTGGGACAAACAAAAAATAGTGTAAGTCATATTTGTCTTAATCTGCATTTATTGTGTTGAATGTAGAGCAACACTAGCAGAGTGGAGTTTGGTCCCACATCAAGGCTGGCATCAGTGACTGTTTACAGGCTTGCTGGGTTAGGTACTGTAACCCTGGGTTACAGTAGAATACATGGTGGGCACCAAACCAATCAGGGAGGAGGAGGCAACTGCTCATGAACCCAAAATCTCAGAAAATGTCTGAAAAACAGCATTCTTTAAATGTTTAAATGTATTTCTGATCATTCTTGGAATCTCTGAAATAATATCAACTGCCCTCTCAACTGCCTTATCGATTTGATCTTCTAAGAGTGGCGTTGTGTCGGGACAGAGCTCTTTCTGTGGATCCGTGAACGTCTCTGGTGGCAGACTGAGACAATCCACCTGTTTCTTATAGAAGTCCAGTTCAGCAGCAGTGAGCTCCCTTCTCCTACTGTAGAGCTTTAGAGAGGTATTCCCATCCTCAGCCCATCTCTCCAGGGTCAGGAGGCAGTCTGGGCACGTTGTCAGGAGGACCTCAGAAACAGGGAAGGGGATCACTGAAGTCCATGTGTTGTTGTCATGCAGAGTAAAGTTAGAGTTGATCCTGAAGCATTCGATTCCTGAAGCATTCTGATGTGGAATACCGACGCCATGGAACTGGGCGATGTCAAGAATGTTGTTCTGGGTACCGACCGGCACAGAGACCTCTATCCAGGCACTGTGTAAAAAAGGTATACAGTATTTGCTCCCAGGAAGGACGGTCAGAACTCTCAGCAATATACACCCACTTCCCAAGGCAGATAGACAATAACTGGGCTAGCTAAAACAAAAAAAAACACATCTCCCTAACCATGGGTGGACAGACAGACAGGAGCCGGAGGGCTCAGTGCCTTTTGTAATTAAAGACGGACTGACAGACAGATGACGGACAGACAGACGACGGACAGACAGACACGCGGACAGATGGACAGACAGACAGACAGTACAGTTCAGATAGATAGTACCTGATTGACACCGCTCAGCTCCAGTGGTCTCAGGAGATCCTCACAGGTTAAAGGGGCCGCCTGGGAGCCACTCACTGAGAGAAGGCCCAGGACAACAGCGTCACACACCGCCAGCATCATATCTCAAGTCTAGGTCCAAAAGACTTCTCAACAGCTTCTACCCCCAAGCCATAAGACTCCTGAACAGCTAATCATGGCTACCCGGACTATTTGCACTGCCCCCCCACCCCATCCTTTTTACGCTGCTGCTACTCTGTTAAGTATTTATGCATAGTCACTTTAACTCTACCCACATGTACATATTACCTCAACTAGCCGGTGCCCCCGCACATTGACTATGCAACGGTACCCCCCTGTATATATAGCCTCCCTACTGTCACTTTATTCTATTGTATATATAGCCTCCCTACTGTCACTTTATTTTTTACTTCTGCTCTTTTTTTTTTTCTCAACACTTTTTTGTTGTTGTTTTATTCTTACTTTTTTGTTTAAAATAAATGCACTGTTGGTTAAGGGCTGTAAGTAAGCATTTCACTGTAATGTCTGCACCTGTTGTATTCGGCGCATGTGACCAATAAAATTTGATTTGATTTGATTTGATTTGAATATGTCTCCCTCACTATAATGTATCTCCCTGTGTCTCTGTACAGTAAGTCTGTCTCACTATGCCTGTTGATGTTTCAATGATGCCAAGGATAGTTCCAGTCTTTTATATGATTTAATATTTGCTCTCCTGTGCCTTTCATGGTACAACAGATCAGATTTCAGGGACATTGGCTGTTTGTACTGTCTGGCAGAGGAGGCTGGTATGAGGAGCTATAAGAGGACAGGCTCATTATAATGGCTGGAATGGAATTATTGGAACGGTATCAAACACATCAAGCATATGGAAACCGTGTTTGACTCCGTTCCATTGATACCATACCAGCCATTACAATGAAGCCGTCCTCCTATAGCTCCTCCCACTAGCCCCCTCTGCTGTCTGGGTTCCCAGTTCCACCACTGTTACTAAATCTAAACAAGACTAAGTCCCATTCCTGATCTCTTGTGGACAGACTACATAACATAAAATGAGTATCTGACGCAATTACGCAACATTTTTGTTTTGGGTTTCCGAGATGAATTCCTAAACAAAACCTGAACTCAAGGGTCAACATAAAATACTGACTGTAAAAACAACCTGAACTCAGGGGTCAACGTAACATACTGACTGTAAAAACAACCTGAACTCAGTGGTCAACATAACATACTGACTGTAAAAACAACCTGAACTCAGGGGTCAACATAACATACTGACTGTAAAAACAACCTGAACTCAGTGGTCAATGTAACATACTGACTGTAAAAACAACCTGAACTCAGGGGTCAACGTAACATACTGACAGTAAAAACAACCTGAACTCAGTGGTCAATGTAACATACTGACAGTAAAAACAACCTGAACTCAGGGGTCAACGTAACATACTGACAGTAAAAATAACCTGAACTCAGTGGTCAATGTAACATACTGACTGTAAAAACAATAATATGGCCTGTAACAAGTTTATTTGCTGGGTATGTGGCTAGATTATGAGGTTAGTCTGTAGACCAACACCCAGTGGCTTTTGTTAACCAGATGGTATGAAAACATAGTGGTAAACCCTACTTCTGTTACGAGAAACAGGAAGTTGTGTCGGGACAGAGCTCTTTCTGTGGATCCATGAACGTCTCTGGTGGCAGACTGAGACAAGCTACCTGTTTCTTATAGAAGTCCAGTTCAGCAGCAGTGAGCTCCCTTCTCCTACTGTAGAGCGGTAGGGAGTTGTAGGTCTTCCCATCCTCAGCCCATCTCTCCAGGGACAGGAGGCAGTCAGGGCACGTTGTCAGGAGGCCCTCAGAAACAGGGAAGGGGATCACTGAAGTCCATGTGTTGTTGTCATGCAGAGTAAAGTTAGAGTTGATGCTGAAGCATCAGCGTCCTCTGATCCAGAATACCGAAGCCATAGAAGTCGACGACATCGACCGGCACAGAGACCTCTATCCAGGCAGTGTGTAATAAGGTATTCAGTATTTGCTCACAGGAAGGACGGCCTGAACTCTCAGCAATTGATAGAATAATTTGGTAATGAGTAATTATTACACTCCACTTTGTGAAATGTGTTAGAATCATAAGACTACTACCTAGTAATGTGTGAGCGTAGGGCAAGTTAAGATTATGACATTGTGTTACTATTTAGCAATGTGAGTAGGAGTTAGGCCAGACAACAAAGGACAAGGAGAACTGTCTACAGACAACTGAGAAACCAAGAAAAGGAAATAGGCCTCCCAATTTAGGGAGGGGAGAAACCATTAGGCTTGGAAGAGAGTATGAAACATGCTGCAGGATATTGTGAGAACGGCGATAACTCCACTTACCCGAGCAAGGAGTAGACTATGATAAGAACATGTGTGTGTGTGTGTGTGTGTGCGTGCGTGTGTGTGTGTATGTGTGTGTGTGTGACCTGATGGTCAGGAGAGCAGAGGAAAATCACATGAGCTAAACCCAGGTGTGAGCTTACAAGATGCGTACAGTGGAAAAATACAGCTCGCCTACAGCGGGGTGGGACTTTTCCTCTGACGTGTGCGTATAAAAAGATTGTACGACCATTTTGTTGCAGAGCGCTCTCAATGAATAAAGGCTGACCATTGCAGAATTGAGTCTTTGTTTAATTTATTTAAACTAAGAGATTTACAACCTTTTGGGAATTATTCAAAGATTTAAGAAGTGTTTGACTTCAACCATTGAGATAGCAAAATTCTCGTGACAGCTTGGTCCTTCGAGCCGGATATCAATACCCGTCCTCTGTCGTTCCGGGGGACACCGAAAACCGTGCACGGGCGGATGATACATCCGTATAGACAAAGACCTGCCCTCTGAGATTGGGGGTTCAAATACAGGCCGGTGACAACCTGGAAACGACAGAAATGGTGACAATATCCAACCAAAATTGAGCTGCAAAAATAAGGTCAGTAATCTTTATTCATTGGATTTTGGTGGAAAGTGATCTGAACTTGCAATAATAATCTGTAATTCTTGTAAAGGGCAGAGAATGATTACCAAAATCTAGTAAGTCTTGGCCATCGCGTTTTGAGACGTTTATCTAGAGAAAACCCAATGCGCCAGCATTCTAGATAGATATAAAATGCGAGTGGTATAGCAAATATACTTAAGTAAACGGGGGGGGGGGGGGATCCGAGCATGACTCCAGGTAGTTGAGTCCATTACCAAAAATAAACTGACCTTGCGTTGCGTCCAATCTAGGATTGACAAGAGTACACAGGAAGGAAGTAAACTTCAGTGTTTTTAGACGTTTTATCTAGAGAAAACCCAATGCGCCAGTATTCTAGATAAATTAAAAATGGGGGTGAAACTTCGAGGAGGGAGAGGTGATAGTGAGACGGTCCGGGAACGGCAATAAATATCAAGAAGGGAAATAACTATTATCGTGTGAGATAGATACATTAAACAAGTCAAAAGTCATAAACAACTGTAGATTAGCCGTAACTCTATCAGTTTCAGTGAAAACTGGAGCCTTACAAACTCCGGGTTACCGATAGTGTTAACTAATAATCATATAAGGTTGTATATGTGTGAGACCTAATGATCCATTGAAAGTTGCGATAATTAATTGTTTCAAGGAAGGGACTAAAATAGGTCGCGTGAGAAAGAATGGTTGTCCCATCCGTTTCATGAAAATGGGGTCTTAAAACACTCTGGGTTACGGGTTGAATAATTTAAATGGTTAATTACAAAAGTTGATCATAACATATAATAGATGTATACAGGCCATGGACACAGAGGGACGTGGCCCGAGTGGTAGAAGGAATGACCCACCCCAAGAAAGGATTGGGCTGCCGTTAGAGGGCAGTGGGTTTCAGGGGATGCCCAGAGGGCACTTTTGCCATGGGCTGATCACGGAGAGTATGTTGGGAAAATAACTGAATTGTGTAATAGCCTCAGGGAACATTGCCATCGTCATGCAGACTTCTTTAAAGTACATGAGTGTAAACAAGAGGATAGTGAGACTATTAGCCAATACTTAGAGAGGCTTAAGGATGTGTTCAACGCAAACAGTGGCATACCCGAGCCAGACCAGAGACAGGGGAATGATACGCCCTACCATCAGCATTTAAAAATAGCGTTCCTCAGTGGAATGAGACCAGAGATAAGCAGGACCATTAAAAATACCTTGATAGGGTGGGGAACGAAACCACTAGCTGAGGTTAAAAGATATGCAATCCATCATGAGCAGATTAAGTGCTTTAACTGTAGTCAAGAAGGGCATTTTGCCAAAGAGTGTGAGGCGCCGTGCAAATACTGTAAGAGAACAGGCCACGACCATCGAGATTGCAGATAGTGGTAGGATAGGATAGGCAACTGTGAAGGGAGACTGGACCCCAGGAAGGGGGGACAGAGTTATTTTACAGTGGGCCGTAGACGGAGAGTATCGAGATAAACTTAATCAACTATGTAACAATCTCAGAGATTACTGCCATAGACCTGCTGATTTTTCTAAAATCCATGAGTGCAAACAGGTAGCAGATGGGCCGTATCATCAACAATTAAAAATAGCCTTTTTAAGCGGAATGAGGCCTGAAATTTCTCAAACAATAAAAAAGACCCTGACTGACTGGGGCACAACGACACTGATTGAGGTTAAAAGGTATGCAGTTTACCAAGAGCCCTGAAGGGAGTGCCAACTCTCGGGGATGTAGTGAGGCCAGAACAAAGGGGCAGTGTCCTGGAAATCACAGTCTGTTTTGTTTTTTTGTCAGTTCTGCTGGGAGTAGATTCTAGTGAGGAGGAGACTGAGGAGCCCATTGATCCAAGTTGTGAGGTGTTTGAATTATTGACCTAGCACTTCAACAGGAACAGAAACCTTATTTGACATTGACAGTAATGGGTAAGAAAATTAAATTCCTATGCGATACAGGGGCTTGCAGGACAGCAATCTGTGCAGCAGACAAACCAGAGGGAGTGAGGATTGATGGGGAGAAAATCATAGTGCGATCTGCCTCTGGTCATCAATTTATTGAAAGGTTATCAGCCCCAATAACCCTAAAACAGGACCAATCAGGAGGAGAGGCAACCATACCCGTCTATGACGAAGCACTATTTAAAACCACAGAAAGAACTGTAGCACTAAAATGGTTTCACTATGACAACACCCACGCAGCAGTGGAAGTGGAACTAGGGCCCCAAAGTCAGAGACTGTTAAGAGAGAAATGGAACCCACATGTGTCCCTAGCAAAGGAGCCAGCAGAGGACTGGAAAGACATGGGCCAGTGGGTATCCAAGGGTAAGAGGATCACTGATTGGGTCAACATTGAGAATGGAGATCAGCACAGCACATCCACGGATAGGTATCGTTGGAAATTGAATTGGAGAGCCAATTCAATTCCTGTGGTACATTTAGATGAGGGTAGAGATTGTAGAGGATTTCCTGTGTGAAAAAAAAAAGTAATAGAAATTGGGTGATGAGAAATGTTGATTTGCATTGGTTAAGCAAAAATTGTATTAAATTCATGCGTTCTAGTTACGTGTATGCAAATATGTTATTCGTTTTTGGTGGTGTGTGGATAGAATTTACTAATGCCAGGATATAGTAAACGAAGCAGAGGGTAATGTGAAGCGGATGTCTCAATAGTTTGTTTATACAACAGTGAGTTATGCAGACAGTTCACATTGAACAATGGGAGATCGTTTTTACTATTAGGCTGATGGCGTAGTAAATGTTTTTCATAGGTTCTGGATTTATTAAACAATAGGTTTATATTTTAATAAATTAATGCAACAGGTTTAAATCAGTAGATTACCGGAAGATGGTTATGGGCTTGTTATTTATAGGTTTAGTGAATTTAATGAAACATGGAGTTATCCGATGTGTTCTAAGGGGGGATTTTTTTTGTATTTTTATTTTTTCAGGATTGAGGGAAATCCCCTACAATATATGTTAAGGGACAGTAGGAGACAACATATCAAACATCTTTTTAAATAGATGCCTGGAATAAAATATCACTGCTTACTTATACAAAGTAAGGGATTTTATTGGCAAATGTGACATTAAGAAGGGTGACAGGAACAATATATGGGGAAACAGATATTTCCTATGTTCTTGATTACATTTTGCATTTTGGCCATTTGGCAGACGCTCTTATCCGGAGCGACTTACAGTTGGTGAGTGCATACATTTTCATACTGTAAAGAAAGGGGTAATCCTACGAGATAATGTCTGGCATAAGGATAAATTATAAAATGTATTAAAGTCACTGTTTTGATATGCGGAAATATTGACACATGGGTAAAGCAATGTGTCAATAGGGGGGATGGTAGAGCAGGTTAGGAAACACTTTGTGGCCTATGATATAACGAATTACTAAAAAAATGTGTCATCTGTGCACAGAATAATCACCAAGATAGACAGAGAGCACCCCAGGGGGAATATCCCCCTGGCAAAATATCCAGTCCAGCAATTGGAAATTGATTTTATAGAGTTATCACGGAGTGAAAGGAAGAAATTGGGTACAATGTCTGCCAATCGTACTAATGACTATCCGAATAACGCCAGATAAGAACGGATTGTCCCCCTTTGACAAAGTGTTTGGAAGACCTTACAGAATGCCACAGTTGGCAGGACCAGAACAGGCAGACATAGAACTAGAGAATACACTAGCAGAACACATGAGAATATTGTTCGTTAACCATACCCGTATGTCTAAGAATTTGTGTCCTACGGGAGAATTGAAGGAGAAGGTGACTCATAGTATACAACCTGGAGACTGGGTGTGGATCCAATCGTTGAGGAAAAAGGATTGAAAGCAGTCACGCTGGGAGGGACCATACCAAGTCCTATTGAGGGCTGGTGAGCAACGCGTTGTGACCTATGGGCCCATTCCCTACTCAGACCGATGGAACGACGACCTATATCCTCCCGCTCTAGTGGACGATGCAGAAGATTTTAACCCTGATGAACCTAAATTGGATGAGACAATTTTTGATGTTTAGTATACTATCTTTTGAATGAAAGTTATAGTAAAAATCCTAACAAGGAGAGTGAGTTATGGTTGGAAGTAAAATTTGGTAGCAATGCAAGACAAATTGTATTTTTATAGTGTGTTTTGTACTAGTGACTCATTTAATATGCAAAACAAGTTGTATGCCTTGTTGTGTGTTTCATTTTATAAGAATGTATTTTAAATGTGTGTGTGAAATTTAGTCAAAGGGTGGATTGATAAAGAAATGTGTGAGTAAGATATGACTAAAATGTCACACCCTCAGTTAAACTAATAATGTATGACTAATTAGTAGACTAGAGCTTAGAGAGTTAATCAAATATGTTTATATCCCAGCAACAGAGTATTTGTGTCTTGTAATTAGGCAAGCAGAAGTGCAAAACGATTGAAACCAATAACAGGAGACTGGTTCCCAAAACACACAGGGAAAGGGGAGTGAAAAAAGGATTGCAGGATATTGTGAGGACGTGATAACTGAAGAATGCAGCCTGCCCGAGCAAGGAGTAGACTATGATAAGAACATGTGTGTGTGTGTGTGTGTGTGTGTGTGTGTGTGTGTGTGTGTGTGTATGTGTGCGTGCGTGTGTGTGTGTGTGACCTAATGGTCAGGAGAGCAGAGGAAAATCACATGAGCTAAACCCAGGTGTGAGCTTACAAGATGCGTACAGTGGAAAAATACAGCCCGCCTACAGCGGGGTGGGTTTTTTCCTCTGAGGTGTGTGTATAAAAAGATTGTACGACCATTTTGTTGCAGAGCGCTCTCAATGAATAAAGGCTGACCATTGCAGAATTGAGTCTTTGTTTAATTTATTCAAACTAAGAGATTTACAACCTTTTGGGAATTATTAAAAGATTTAAGAAGTGTTTGACTTCAACCATTGAGATAACAAAATTCTCGTGACAGCAATATACACCCACTTCCCAAGAGTCTGCAAGATGGAAAGGCAGATAGACAGAATAACTGGGCTAGCTGACACAAACAACCATGTCTCCCAAACCATGGGTGGACAGACTGACAGACAGACGGACGGACGGACGGACGGACAAGGGGACGGACAGACGGAGAAGCGGACGGACAGACGGAGAAGCGGACGGACAGACGGGCAGGTGGACAGACTGATAGCTCTGCTGTTTGCTCTCCTCATGACACAACAGGTCAGGCTCCAGGAACATTTGCTGTTTGCACCGTCTGGGTTTCCAGTTCTACAACTGTTGCTAAATCTAAACAAGGCAAAGTCCCATTCCTAATCTCTTGTGGACAGACTACATTACATAAATCGAGTATCTGACGCAATTATGCAAGATTTTTGTTCTGGGTTTCCGAGATGAACCCGTTCCTAAACAGTAAACACAGAGTGCTGTTGTTTCCAGCAGGTGGCAGTAAAACTTTATTAAACTTCTACATAACTTAATTGTATTGACAAAACTGTATTACATTGAATGAAAAGGGCTTTTCAGATATCCCATAGCGCCTTTATGGAAGTCTTAAGTCTTGTATGTGACTGTCTTGATCTGGTGCAGCACTTGTAATTCCAATACTAACATCCCAGTATTCTAAAGTCTAACATCCCATTATCTTTAAGTCTAACATCCCAGCATTCTAAAGTCTAACATCCCAGCATTCTAATGTCTAACATCCCAGTATTCTAAAGTCTAACATCCCAGCATTCTAAAGTCTAACATATCAGCATTCTAAAGTCTAATATCCCAGTATTCTAAAGTCTAACATCCCAGCATTCTAAAGTCTAATATCCCAGTATTCTAAAGTCTAACATATCAGTATTCTAAAGTCTAACATCCCAGCATTCTAAAGTCTAATATCTCAGTATTCTAAAATCTAACATCCCAGCATTCTAAAGTCTAATATCCCAGTATTCTAAAGTCTAACATATCAGTATTCTAAAGTCTAACATATCAGTATTCTAAAGTCTAACATCCTAGCATTCTAAAGTCTAACATCCCAGTATTCTAAAGTCTAACATCCCAGTATTCTAAAGTCTAACATCCCAGTATTCTAAAGTCTAACATCCCAGTATTCTAAAGTCTAACATCCCAGTATTCTAAAGTCTAACATCCCAGTATTCTAAAGTCTAACATCCTAGCATTCTAAAGTCTAACATCCCAGTATTCTAAAGTCTAACATCCCAGTATTCTAAAGTCTAACATCCCAGTATTCTAAAGTCTAACATCCCAGTATTCTAAAGTCTAACATCCCAGTATTCTAAAGTCTAACATCCCAGTATTCTAAAGTCTAACATCCCAGTATTCTAAAGTCTAACATCCCAGTATTCTATACCATGCTGTTTACCACTCTAATAAGATGATTAGTTGTTGTCTTCTCAGCCGGGGTGCTGTCTAGCAGGCTCTAGAGCCCCTGTAATGAACATGCTCTCCCTGGCAGTGACAGAGGAGGCCTTCCTTCCAGCATTTCATCAACACTCCGGTCCCCTACTGATGGGGGCAACAGTGGCTTTATATACTGTACAAACAGCAGCTAGACTCATTCTTCTTTGTGTGAGAACGTAGCCCCTCCCCTCCCCACTGTTGGCCCCATAATTACAGGGGCTCTACAGATATGGCAGGCCTGTGTCAACCAATGTTTACCTTCTCAACACACAATGTGATCTAAATATATTTGTCCAGGAAAAGCCACTTGTCTAAACAGATAACTCTGAGAACAACAAATGTTTTTATAAATGGGAACGTTGGGATTGATTTGAGTTCATATGAAAGCAAGACTGCAGTGTGATTTCACCACAACTATTTATACTATTTTATAGGAAGAGCCATGGTGCCCATATCTGGGCATTGAGTGCAGCAATTGTGGAATATACACATGGGCTTGGTCAACATTGGAGCTGAAATGGCAGGCGACTGTCTGATCTACTAATCACCTTGCATCCTAAATACCTAATAATTATTGTTTGACGATCACAGTCAGTTACAAGTTACCCTAAATGCATCATGTCAGCTGTAAAGTCGAACAAGCCCACTTTCTCTCACAGGCATGGAGAATGTCCTTGAGATGTTGTTGCCAGCTCTGAGCTCCAGCAGGGGGCACGTGTTAAGGTCTGTGCTCCCCAGTCTCAGCCATCTGTTGTCAGGCTCACACGGCCCTGGGACCTGCTCTCTCCTCTCAGCCTCCACGGACGGCTGCTGCATGAAGGGGGACGAGAGGCTCAAGGCTCTGTGTGTGTGTGTTTGTGTGTGTGTGTGTGTGTGTGTGTGTGCATGTGTGTGTATACGTAGGGAGGAGGCTTACTTGTGTGATGGGAGCCTTTTCATGCTTCCTGCTTTGATCTTCTCTCTCAACTCCTCATCCCACTCTCTCTCTCTCTCTCTGTGCCTCAGGCCCCCAGTCTGCATGGCACAGCGATGGAGGGGAGGGGGAGGGGTGTCCGCTGCTCCTCTCACTGAGCCGCTGCTTGTTCTGTGTCCATAACGCTGGGAGAGCTGCTGGGAGCTGCTGCTGGCTGCACATGGGACACTACAATCCCAGGCTGCATCCCAAATGGCACCCTACAGAGTGCACTACCATGGGCCCTGGTTAAAAAAAAATATATAGTGCACTATATAGGGAATATAGGGTGCCATTTGGGATGCAGCCACAGGCTCCAAGAGCAGAGCAGGGCCCCAGTCAGTGGGCGGAGGAGAGGGTTTGCCCGTAAACTAAAGCGGTGTGTACTTCCCTTTTAATGCTCCACTCAGATCTGCAACAGTAGGCCGAGATTCTTGTGTGAAAAACAACTGCAACAGTACTTAGAGAGTTGACCCCTGACCCTGAAAACATGGGACAGTTGCCCCCTTCCCCCGCAGCTGCTAGTTATTTTATATAACTAGGCTCACACTGACTGGCTTTGCTCTTGCCCAAATCATGAGAATCACTGATAAATCACTGGGCTTGAGGCCTCCCCCTGTCCCTCTGTCCACCTGTCCTCCTGTCCCCCTGTCCTCCTGTCCCCCTGTCCCCCTGTCCCTCTGTCCCCCTGTCCCCCTGTCCCTCTGTCCCTCTGTCCCCCTGTCCCTCTGTCCCTCTGTCCCCCTGTCCCTCTGTCCCCCTGTCCCCCTGTCCCTCTGTCCCTCTGTCCCCTGTCCCCCTGTCCCCCTGTCCCCCTGTCCCCCTGTCCACCTGTCCTCCTGTCCCCCTGTCCCCCTGTCCCTCTGTCCCTCTGTCCCTCTGTCCCCCTGTCTCTCTGTCCCCCTGTCCCCCTGTTCCTCTGTCCCTCTGTCCCCCTGTCCCCCTGTCCATCTGTCCCTCTGTCCGTCTGTCCCTCTGTCCCCCTGTCCCTCTGTCCCCCTGTTCCCCCTGTCCCTCTGTCCTCCTGTCCAGCTGTCACTGTACGTCTCACATGGTAAAGACAGGGGCTCTTATTATAGAGGTCAACACTTTATCTTATACTTAGGATGTGGTCAATGTTTGTCTGTTTTGCAGCTTAATATCTTATACAGTATATCTTATATCTATTCCATAAACAAGGCATTCACTTTTCTATGTCATTATTCTGATCCTATAACACATTACACACACAAAAAAGGTGCAAAACCCCTCCCAAAAATATTAATTTGTTCTAGAAATCAGGATATTGCAACACAAGACATAATGTGACCCCCCCCCCCCCCCCCCCCCCCCCTCCCCAATCACCCTTATCCTCCCCTTTCACCCCCTGCTGGGTAGTCAGCAGTCAGCCATGGGCTGAGTGAGGAGCACAGATGCGAAGGCACAGAGTGGTGACCCTAATTGTAGACTAATTGGATGGGTTGAGCACCTTTCTTTAGACATGTGGCTAGTGTTAGACCCTGACAACCAACCACCGACCAACCCCACCATCTCAACAGATGACTGCACTTAATATTGCATGACTAACACATTTGAGAGAGAGAGAGAGAGAGAGAGAGAGAGAGAGAGAAGAGAGCTCTATATAGCTCTAGAGAGCTCGAGCTCGAGAGAGAGCGAGAGGATAGAGAGATTATCTGATTATAGTCCCAGATAGACAGAGTCTCTCGATAGCCTACTCTCTCTGCTCGATGTCTTCTCATCTCTCTCTCTCGCTCGCTCGCTCCCTCCTCTCTCTCTCCTCCTCCTCTCTCTCTCCTACTTCTCTCTCCTCTCGCTCTCTCCCTCTCCTCTCTCTTCTCTCTCGCTCCTCTCTCTCCTCTCCTCGCTCTACTCCTTCCTCTCCTCCGCTCTCCTGACTCTCTCGCGCTCATTCTCTCTCGCTTCTCCGTCCTCCCTCTCTCCTCTCCTTCCTCGCTCTCTCTCTCTCTCTCTCGCGCTCTCCTGCGGCGCGTCCGCTCGCTCGCTCGCCGAGGGCCTGTCGGCGCGCGCTTCGCGCGCTCGCGCGTCCGTCGCTACCGCTCGCGCGCTTCGCTCGCGTCGCGCGCTCGTTCCTCTCTTCGTTCTCTCTCTCTCTCTCGTCTCAGCGTCCTCTCGCTCTCTCATCCCGCTCTCTCCGATCTCTCGCGCGCTACTCGTCGCTTTTGGGTGGGCCCCACGACTTCGCGCTCGCTCTCTCTCCGATCTCTCGCTCGTCGCTCGCGTCCGCTGGCGCGCGCGCGCGCGCGCTCGCGCGACCCCCGCCCGCGAAGCGAGCCTCGCTCGAGCGCCGCCTCGGGCTGTACTAACACTAACAGGCTTTCTGCAGGCCCCTGAAAGTTTGACTGCAGTAGAGAGTAATGGGGCTGGCAGGGCGGAATCAATTATTAGCCACAACAGATTTTCCCACAGGTCAGAGGCTGACAGCTGGCACTGTGCTGCCACTGGGAAAGCAGGACTTTACTGCAGCATAGACATTGGCACTATGCTTCCACTGGGAAGGCAGGACTTTACTGCAGCAAAGACAGCTGGCACTGTGCTTCCACTGGAAAAGGAGGACTGTACTACAGCAAAGACAGCTGACACTGTGCTTCCATTGGGAAAGCAGGAAGCCACTCCTCAGTAAAAGGCACATGACAGCCCGCTTGGAGTTTGCCAAAAGGCACCTAAAGGACTCTCAGACCATGAGAAACCAAGACTCTTTGGCCTGAATGCAAAGTGTCACGTCTGGAGGAAACTAGGCACCGCTCATCATCTGGCCAATACCATCCCTACGGTGAAGCATGGTGGTGGAAGCATCATGTTGTGGGAATGTTTTTCAGCAGCAAGGACTAGGAGACTATTCAGAATCGAGGGAAAGATGAACAGAGCAAAGTACAGAGAGACCGTTGATGAAAACGGCTCCAGAGCGCTCAGGACCTCAGACTGGGGTGAAGGTTCACCTTCCAACAGGACAACAACCCTAAGCACACTGCCAAGACAACGCAGGAGTGGCTGAGGGACAAGTCTCTGAATGTCCTTGAGTGGCCCAGCCAGAGCCCGGACTTGAATAACTCTGAAGAGACCTGAAAATAGCTGTGCAGCGACGCTCCCCATTCAACCTGACAGAGTTTGAGAGGATCTACAGAGAAGAATGGGAGAAACTCCCCAAATACAGGTGTGCCAAGCTTGTAGCGTCATACCCAAGAAGAATCGCGGCTGTAATCGCTGCCAAAGGTGCTTCAACAAAGCACTGAGTAAAGGATCTGAACACTTATGTAAATGTGATATTTCCGTTTTTTATTCATAATAAAATTGCAAACATTTGTAAAAATCTGTTTTTGCATTGTCATTATGGGGTATAGTGTGTAGATTGATGAGAGAAAAAAGCAATTGAATCCATTTTAGAATAAGGCTGTAACGTAACAAAATGTGGAAAAGTCAATGGGTCTGAATACTTTCCGAATGCACTGTATATATAGCAGCAGGTCCAGCCTCTTACTTAGCGATCTTAGCCAGCCAGAGTTACGTTTCACTCCAGTTTTTGTTTTCGCCACTTTCCCATTGATATGCAAACATTGTTTTTCCGGAATGTAGGTCGGAGCACAATGTGTGGCCTCAAAAGCTGTTTGCTCTTTGGTCCTCACTTCCCTGTTGTGCTGGTTTAGGAACCAGTCTTTAGGGCTGCCTCGCCTGGCTTCCACCCATTGTGTCATTGCTTAAGGCTGGATGCTGGTAGTAGTTGTGACGGACTACTGTGTGCCTGCTTAGCAGGATAGCTTATGGTGTGATCTGAACTCTGCTACATACTGTAGGGAAGATATGGGAGTAGGTTTGGGAGAATGCACCAAGTCTACCAAACATACATATTGTGATGGAGATTGGAGTGTGTGCCAAAACTTAGTGTTTGGGTTAATAGTTTGAATAGTTTATTAAAGCTTTCTTGGAAGATTCAAGAATTCAAGAGAAGGTTCATGTTTAATTAATGACACCCTATTCTCTGCATGCCCTATGAACCCTGATCAAAAGTAGTGCACTATATATAGGGTTTAGGGAATAGGATCCCATTTAGGACACATCTATGTGATGTCAGTGGTGTTTGACCTGAGGAGCTGTCTTCAAATCAAAACAAACCTTCGACTTCACAGAGAAACACGGAAGTGAACACATCCTCCTTTACAAGGCATTACCTGTCCAGATACCACCACAGACTAACATGAATGGATGACTTTACAAGGCCTTACCTGTCCAGATACCACCACAGACTAACATGAATGGATGATTTTACAAGGCCTTACCTGTCAAAATACAACCACAGACTAAAATGAATGGATGCCTTTACAAGGCTTTATCTGTCTAAATACCACCACAGACTAACATGAATGGATGACTTTACAAGGCCTTACCTGTCCAGATACCACCACAGACTAACATGAATGGATGACTTTACAAGGCCTTACCTGTCAAAATACAACCACAGACTAAAATGAATGGATGCCTTTACAAGGCTTTATCTGTCTAAATACCACCACAGACTAACATGAATGGATGACTTTACAAGGCCTTACCTGTCCAAATACAACCACAGACTAAAATGAATGGATACCTTTACAAGGCATTACCTGTCTAAATACCACCACAGACTAAAATGAATGGATGACTTTACAAGGCCTTACCTGTCCAGATACCACCACAGACTAACATGAATGGATTACTTTACAAGGCCTTACCTGTCAAAATACAACCACAGACTAAAATGAATGGATGCCTTTACAAAGCTTTATCTGTCTAAATACCACCACAGACTAACATGAATGGATGACTTTACAAGGCATTACCTGTCTAAATACCACCACAGACTAACATTAATGGATGACTTTACATGGCATTACCTGTCTAAATACCACCACAGACTAAAATGAATGGATTACTTTACAAGGCATTACCTGTCTAAATACCACCGCAGACTAACATGAATGGATGATTTTACAAGGCCTTACCTGTCCAGATACCACCACAGACTAACATGAATGGATGACTTGACAAGGCCTTACCTGTCCAGATACCACCACAGACTAACATGAATGGATGATTTTACAAGGCCTTACCTGTCCAGATACCACCACAGACTAACATGAATGGATGAATTTACAAGGCATTACCTTTCTAAATACCACCGCAGACTAAAATGAATGGATGAATTTACAAGGCCTTACCTGTCCAGATACCACCACAGACTAACATGAATGGATGACTTTACAAGGCCTTACCTGTCAAAATACAACCACAGACTAAAATGAATAGATGTATTTACAAAGCTTTATCTGTCTAAATACCACCACAGACTAACATGAATGGATGACTTTACAAGGCATTACCTGTCTAAATACCACCGCAGACTAAAATGAATGGATACCTTTACAAGGCATTACCTGTCTTAATACCACCACAGACTAAAATGAATGGATGACTTTAAAAGGTAATCCCTTTCTTAATACCACCACAGACTAACATGAATGGATGACTTTACAAGGCATTACCTGTCTAAATACCACCACAGACTAACATGAATGGATGACTTTACAAGGCATTACCTGTCTTAATACCACCACAAACTAAAATGAATGGATACCTTTACAAGGCATTACCGGTCTAAATACCACCACAGACTAACATGAATGGATGACTTTACAAGGCATTACCTGTCTAAATACCACCGCAGACTAAAATGAATGGATTACTTTACAAGGCATTACCTGTCTAAATACCACCGCAGACTAACATGAATGGATGACTTGACAAGGCCTTACCTGTCCAGATACCACCACAGACTAACATGAATGGATGATTTTACAAGGCCTTAACTGTCCAGATACCACCACAGACTAACATGAATGGATGAATTTACAAGGCTTTACCTGTCTAAATACCACCGCAGACTAAAATGAATGGATGAATTTATAAGGCATTACCTGTCTAAATACCACCGCAGACTAAAATGAATTGATTACTTTACAAGGCATTACCTGTCTAAATACCACCACAGACTAACATGAATGGATGACTTTACAAGGCATTACCTGTCTAAATACCACCGCAGACTAAAATGAATGGATGACTTTACAAGGCATTACCTGTCTAAATACCACCACAGACTAACATGAATGGATGACTTTACAAGGCATTACCGGTCTTAATACCACCACAAACTAAAATGAATGGATACCTTTACAAGGCATTACCGGTCTAAATACCACCACAGACTAACATGAATGGATGAATTTACAAGGCATTACCTGTCTAAATACCACCGCAGACTAAAATTAATGGATTACTTTACAAGGCATTATCTGTCTAAATACCACCACAGACTAACATGAATGGATGACTTGACAAGGCCTTACCTGTCCAGATACCACCACAGACTAACATGAATGGATGATTTTACAAGGCCTTACCTGTCCAGATACCACCACAGACTAACATGAATGGATGAATTTACAAGGCATTACCTGTCTAAATACCACCGCAAACTAAAATGAATGGATGAATTTACAAGGCATTACCTGTCTAAATACTACCACAGACTAAAATGAAAGGATTACTTTACAAGGCATTAGCTGTCTAAATACCACCACAGACTAACATGAATGGATGACTTTACAAGGCATTACCGGTCTTAATACCACCACAAACTAAAATGAATGGATACCTTTACAAGGCATTACCGGTCTAAATACCACCA